GCAAGATGTTATTTGACTCTTTAAAATCTCTCCAATAGTGCACCAATTGTAACTTTCCTGTGTTGTTATCATTGGGCCAGTATAAAATAAAAGCGTACCACATATGGTCCATTAACTAGCAAGCATTTAGTTAGCAATGTAGACTTGCAAATCATTGATGTGTTTCTCTCCTTGAAATGAAAAATTGTTACATACATGACACATCATCATGCCTGATATACTGTACTGGAATACCAATACTCGCATATATTATTACTATCTGGTCAGATTTTCTAATGGCTAATAATAAACTCATTACCAAAAAGGAATAAATACAAGGTATCAAATAAGGTAATTTGTTTTGCCTGTTTTTATTCTACAGACTAAAATAACAATTAAACTTAATGCTACAAGTGACAGACAGAAGCTTATCTGGCAATATAAATACAATTCTAATCCTAAGATTATAAAATAATTAACACACTAACACCTATAGCTGTTCTGGTAATTATTGTCATAAAGTAGACTCCAAATATAGGAAAGCATGTCTATCGTTTATGTCTGTAAAGACAAACAATACAGATTGTAAAGAAGATGAGGTCATACTAGGACAATCTGATATCATGTATGACCTTGACAATATTAATTAAATGCTGAATTCTGAAATTATTAATAATTAACAAACTAACATAACTGTTCCGATAATTATTCTCCAAATGTAGGAAAGCATGTCTATTGTTTGTGTCTGTCCTAGAATGACCTCATCACTGTTTACAATCTGATATCATATGACCTTGACAATATTATAAATGAAACACTAAATCCTGGAATTATTAATAATTAACAAACCATCACAAGAATTAACAAACAACACGTGCATATATTATGCCACATAATTCAATTAAATATTTTTTTGTTAAATACGATTAAAAGAAAGATATTGTATTCCATGGTATAAATCAGACATACAGGCTGTATACATAAAGATTTTGGAATATTGTCTGTAAAATATTCTGTCCTACAACAATGACTGAGAATCTGCAAACAGCCAACACATAATGTCAATAGCTAGAACATTACTATGTATATCATACAGTACATTATGCCTGTCAAACAGCTGATATATATTTTGAAGAGTATTACAGCTGTTTTATAATTGTCAGTGAAATGTCGGTATTCGTTTAACTTTTTACAATGCATCACATATCACGTCCGATGCAAAGAAGATGTTCATCCAGATCTAACAGTTTTCTCTGACTAATTAGTTGTTGTCAATGTATATCCACAATGTAGTTGTTATATTATCTCTATTTTATATTGTTGTATGCATATAAATATGTGATATACTATTTCATATATTATGTTATTCATCCACTGCAGGAAAACAATCCATTACAAATTGTTGAATAATCAGGACAAAAAAATTTTATGATTCTGATTATATGTTGGATATACTGTACATTAAACACCATTAATATAACAAAAAAAAATTCATTTAAAATGAGCTTTGTCTTCCTTGATAGCAAAGGACAATCCACATATATAGCATTCTTAATAAGATATAACACAATGGCCGCTCACTAGATTAAAACATCCTAAAACATATTTAAAAATAATTAATCTATTAGAAGGGACCAATAAATGACAAATACAAACAATCTTATAAAAAAAAAAACACTTAAAATAATTATTTTAATAATATGATTTAAAAATGTCATGTTTAGTTTATATAGCAAGTTAATTGGTTTATTTAATAATTATTTACTCTGTATATTTGGTCACCTACCTGGCATATTATTATGGCTTTAAATAAATCTTGTATATTACAGTGACAGTAGACATGCTAACCTGCATCAATCGCTACACAACACTACTCTATTCTTTTATGACAACAACTCCAGAAGCTGGGGTGTGGTTGAGCAACAATTATTTTGATCATTATTATTTTTGAAATGCACAACAATATCTTAAGCAGGTGCCGTGTTGATTTGTCATCAGTTTATTGTATTTTAGTTTCTGTTCAATTTCTATAGGCAAGACTGTGTGATGGGATTGACTGGATGACTCACAAAAGCTGAGTCATAACTACAGAGGGCGCTTTCAACTTCTGATTTATAGCCACTTTAAGTGTAGATACTTTCCTTGGGGTATCTCATAATCACTTGATCAAATGTCAACGAAATAAATTGCAGCTGTACTGAATTAGCAATGTTATGTTATCTTTAGACTTTGGGGTAAATTATTTGAAATTCTCGTTAGGGTTGGGCATCATTAACAATATATATAAAGCATAAGCCTACATTATCACATGTGCATACACTGTAGGCCTACTGTCTAATTGGCTTATGGCTTTGTGGAGAAATAAAATGATAGTACTATTTTTTTTATAAAAATGTTGGTACAGTATTAAGAATGGGATCTTTTCTTTATTCAATATAAATAACAGAATTAAAAACATTGTAGACCATGATCACTCTAAGAAAATAGCAGGTACCAGCAAAAGAAATAATCAATAATCATTTAGGACTTGTAAAGTGACGTAAAATAACTTCCTAACTAGATAGATACCAGTATATTAAATTTAGGTGTTAAAATGCTTTAGTTTGGTGTAAAAGCTTTTCCTGATTACTTAGTTATTGTTAATTAACATTATTATCATCACAATTATTATTCACCATCTATATAAATTTTTTTTTAAATCAGTGTTTTTTTATAATACTATTAAATAATAACAATAATAATTATAATAATAATAATAATAATAATAATAATAATAATAAAAATAATAATAATAATAATTAGATGGATTTAATATACCACAAAGAAACAAGGTCTCTATGCGCTTAACAAAAGGTAAGACAACAACGAAAAAATTATTAGTGATTAAATATAAAAAATAATAATAATTATAATAATGCTAACAACATTAATTACAATATTGTTAAAGATAACAATGTAACAAAATAAATATATCAATAATAATGACAAAGTAATTTCAGCAGGAAAAAAAACAGCACCCAATTGCTACCCGCATTTCAAACTGTAAATACAAAATGCCAATTTCTGCACTTACAATAAACAAAAAAGACTGATTGCCTGAATGACTCATGTGGTTCCTATGCTACTGTAACTGTAATTAATGATACTGTCATGTTATAACATTACCTGTTTGTTTAGCGTACACTGATAATGTTAACATTTCCTAGAATGGTTGCATTCTATTAATCATCACAGATTTTCAGGGAAAATTTTTTTAGAACAAGTCATTGTACAGGACACATTGATGAGTCTAATTATTTAAATTTTGATGTATAATAGATTGAAATTGAAACAAAGACAAAGGGCATATTTCTCATTGTGTCTCAAATTGAAACTTCCACTTTCATATTTCATACTGTTTGACATTTTTATCATTGTACTTTTTGCTTTTATTACATCATGATTCACAGCCTTGTATGTAGCGCTATATGGAAAACTAAATCAACAAACTTACAATTACTTTAAAATATCCATTTGGAAAAGAATACCAATGTTAACACTCAAAATCTCAATTGTGTTGCATTATCATGTAATAATAATAAGACCAAGTAAAAAAAAAAAGTAGTTTCTCGTCCTAATATTTTGATAAAAGGAGAATGAGGGCACATTTTCCCCTTTTTAACTCCGAGATGGTAAATCCAAGATGGTCGATGGGAAACAGTTACTACCGCACTTTGAAAGCAAATAAAAGAAGCACTAGAAATGATTCCTATCATGTATCCCCCAACCACGCACGATCGAGAGAGGCATTTTACTGATGTTAGATTTTCGTACATTTCGTGTTTAAAAAAAAAAAAAAATTGGTGACGCAGAAAAAATTGATGCATGAGGGGACGAGAAACTAGTAATGTTTTTGATTCAGCCTAATAACAAATATTTACATAGTGCCAATTCAAAATATATCAATGACACTAAGTGAGGAATAAGGCAAGTTAACACCACCTCTAACATTATTTAAAATATGGTATGCCAAGCACTATTGTAATTATATGCAACAAACTTTATAAATAAATATATGTGGCTGACAAATTTGCTTATTTAAAAACCAGAATATAAAATGTTGTGGCGCCCTTAAAATCACACAGGTAAATTCACACAAATACACAAGAACAAACAATGATGATCTCATTTGTTTTCTATATATAAAGGTACCGGTCTGCATACAAACATATTCGAATGAAGTAAAACTATATTCAAATGAAGGGAAAATCCTGATTTGTTGACTGTAAGTTTGTACATGTGACAGGTGTTAACTATGAAAGCACAATTATTTCAACTGAGTAAATCATAAAGACCTATTCCATTGCTAATAATGCCATTTACTTATTTAAAATCATTCATGCATTTGTCTAAGACTGGTTTATATCCGTCTTAGCACCAGTAACAGGACATAATTCTTTAAATTCTGTTTATCAATAAGTCTGCCTTTCAATGACTTTGTTTAGGATCTTTTGTTAACTAGAGACCTATTGTGTTTAAAATTTTTAAAATATAATAAATATACTTCACTCTTAGTAAATTTACTTTTTATCTATCATAGTAATTAAAATGCTCAAATTTCAGAGGTTTTAAAATTCTTCGATTTAATTAGGATAGGAAGGAAATACAAGGCAGTTTAAGAACAATTATTAACTATGATGTGTACGTCCTTCTATATTATTTACATTTACAATAGTTAAAAAAATAAAACTAAAATTAACTATAAAATATAAAGTAATTACATCATATAGATTCTAGCCAATACCAAACACAAAGCAGTTGCAATTGTATTTGGTCTAATTAAACTGCTAAAAAACACAGTGGGACCGATACAAAAGTTTATATGTTATCTTCTAATTACATCTTAAAAGTACCTAAGAAGGCTTCTCTAGGACCAATGCTCTAAAGGACTTAAAAATAAAACAAGCAAATATACCAAATATATGATGTAAACTTATTTTAATAAGCAAGTAAAAATTATGAACAACACATAAGTTACTAACCTTTAGCAGGGGGTCTGAAACACCAGAGGCTACCCCCAGCAGGTTTTTCCTTTTTATAAGTCATGAACAATGTTTAAAATCAGCTACAAATATCCATAAAAAGTATCTCCAATGATAAGTAAAAATATTCTAGATATAAAACTTGTTTTCAGTTTCATTAAATCACAAATGACAGAACTAACATTTAACTGTTGATTACACTTCCTCCATCTGTGAACATTTGCTGGTTGTCACAATGAAAACAGGACTCCAACTGCATAAATATTTAAACAACCACCTAATTGTCAGATCACCAAGATATTATGACATTATGCAAGAGCAACATTTTTATGAATACACAGGCCACTGGCCCTCATGTGCACAGCACCAAGCATCATCACTACTGGGAAATAAAGAACTAAGGACCAATCAAAATAACCTTGAATGACCCACAGGTAATTATGTGAACCCTGACCTGAATGCCAACCAACCAATGGGAGGCCATTCTGAAAACCACAACAATAATACACACTTCAGGTAGATTATAACAGGCCTACATTGACTCACACGTCAGTGATGCTTGTGCCTTTATATATCCATGGATGTAAACAGGACTTAACAAACGTCATTGTTAGATTATTGATACCTTAGTTTCTCTTTCTTGACTATGACTTCTTACCAACAAAGAGAATAGAATTTATGAATGTTGGTCTTTTGTATGCTGCTGCAACAAAACATGTCTCACAACAACCCAGAGTACATTATTCTACATGTTCTATTCAAGATAAAGGTCACTTTTCCCTGGGGAAGTGCATCTACTTAAATATAGCCTTTTTACACTTTAATAAATGAGATACATTAATATTATAGGGGCAGCAAACAGCAAGTATGAGAAAAAAAAATATATCACTTTACCTGTGACAACAGATATGATTATTAGGATGCGGGACAAACCTAGATAAAGTTTATATCAATAAGGAAGATGGCCTTGATTTAACCTACATTGTACTTTGAATTAAACAGATGGTATGAGTATGGCTTATATAATCTGCATAAACACATTGAATTGAATCATAGCGATAATATTACCTTGGGATAATCTATACAATTTTGCTGATGGTGCAATTCAACTGTCTGCTGCCACCTATAGGCCTAAAGTCTTTCATGTACATTTGGCATTAAAGTATTATTAAACCAGAGGACACGGGACTAGGGGGTGCTGCGTTATGGAGAGAAATGTGTGACCGGAAATGGTCTGCCAGTTGGTTGTTACCATGCGCCAGTGATGTTGGAGTACAGCAAGATGTAATAAAGTTCGGGGTTTGTCGGGTAATGAAATGAATATTGTACATTTTAAGTGCTCCCTCCATGCATAAGTGTAAGCTAAATTACGGTGATTAATTAGCGAAGATATGGAGACAATTATTTCGAAGTTCCCTCTTTCCAGGAGGGGATGCAAATGCTTTGTGATAATGAGTACGCTGCGGTACTCATTTTCACAAAGGAATACACTCAGCTGGTTATTAGCTAACAATATGCAAATTTACATAAACACCTGTGAAGAAATGTGCAAATCACGTTCTGTTGCCTAGCAAACGTCTGTACTTACTGTAGTAGAGGGGG